AGCTATTGATATTAGTGACAAGATTAAATGAGCATTGATATATAGCTTATAAAAAATGCAAAGCTTAGTAATCACGTCAGATATTTGTATTTGAATAAGGCATATCAAACAGAACCTATTAATCAGTTGTGAATGGCATTAAAACAAGTTAGTTGCTATTAAAGTAATGAATCTCAGAATATCAGATTTTATCTAAAGAAATAATTTATACTAAAAGCGTTCTATGTATCTAGTTACATGATTAAGGCGAAGGCGAATTAATATGCTTATTACCTTGCATGGATAGTAGTAAGATCGATAATGAAGATGATCGCGGCCAACTAAAGGTATGTTCTCAGTTCGCATGTGAAGCTCCAAGTGTTGGAAAAAGTCGTATGACTCACGAGAGGCAAATGGCACAAGAATGCCGAGTCCACCAGAAAGAGTAGTGTAGACAAGTCCCTCCGAACCACCAGGTATCAAAGTGGCTTTTACAAGCGAAGTTATCATTTCACCAATGAAAAAATGGCTTATAGTCTAAAAGAATGTTTAAAAAGTAGCTGCTATGTAAGTGGTATTTTAATCATTTTATAACACCATAGAATATAAGTTGAAAATGAAAAAATAAGCAAATGAATTTATATATAATCAGGTTATTCGTATAATTTATCTTTAGCTCTAATTTACAGACGCAAGATTCACTTGTAGGTAAAACTATCTGTATCCTAATTTACTTAAGAAATCAAGTCAATTTTATGAAGTGCATGTTTGGAGAAGCATGTCTGAATAAATATATCAAATTATTTCATAACCTAATTTGATTAAAATGTATCTTATCCACCAGCAAAACTCAGTAATATTCGAAGCTATCAGCAAATTGAAAACATAAAGATGGTGTTGATAAGCTGCTTGGGCAACTTTAGTCATAAGGCATATGCGACTTTCAAAGTCATAAATACCTCATTTTAGCAACAGAGACAAAATCATATTTGCCATCAAATTCCACATCATCAATTAAGTACACATTAATTTTTATTGAAAAATAAATACCATTGACGCATCAACGATCCAGATTGATTATCGAGCTAACCCTAAGCAACCGAAGAAGATAGTGAATTTGTTTACTATAAGACTTTTTCATCCAGGATGAAGAACAAAAAATATAAAATGGGTGTTTATAACAACAAAAAGAGCAATAACGAGAATAATTTCAAAGGACACCAGATACAAATCATTCGAATGCACCCACAAAACCACAAAAAGATATAAGCTAAATTAAATTACCTCAGCCTTTTGACTCGCGCCCCCAAGAAAACCCCGATCCCAAAGTGCTCTATTCCCGCTAGGATCTTCCTCAACATCATCAGAGACATTTGGGGGCAAACGAAGTATGGTAATGTTACCAAATTTATCTGCAAGCGCAAGGGTAGCTGGATCAAGAACTGCAAGGGCTGTAACCCAACGAGGACATGAGTCATCAGCAAAGACCACAAGCTGATTTTCACTGCGAACATGATATCTGATCCAATGAACACTTTCCTGAATATCGCATACCATAATCCGACTGCCAACGGAATGGATGCTGACGATGAGATGGGGCAGGTGCTAAAAAACAAGATCGCATACAATAATTGCCAAATAAAACTAGAACTAAAGTCCAAAAATAGCTCAAATTACTGGTCGATTTGCAGATATCAGTCCATAATTTTGCAAACCTAAAAAATATACACCGCCAGTCTGTGACGAATTAGTATGATAGCGAAAAATATCGTTAACAGAAAATTTAATAAAAGCACAATAAAGATGCTATACATGACGGAAACAACGATAAAGTTAAGTATATAGCCAAATATATGATTAAAAATCATTGTTTGATTAGTTCAGGGATAACTAAGCACACAACAATAAGTTTTGTCCGAGGAACAATCATTTGCTTATAACAAATATTGTCAGCCAAGGATCAGTGTTCATTAGACCTATGAAGCCAGAAGCAATCTCAGGAAAGACAAATACATTAAGGTAGCTTTCATTTCGCTTGAAGAGGCGAGTGGAAGGGATTCGTAAGTTGACCTCACCGGAGTGTGTAGGGGGATTCCTTAAAGCTGTGAATGTAAATTTGTACGAATAGATTTTCGGCGTGCCACTCTGTGACCCCAAAGAATCCTTGCCAAGCTTTTACCCGTCATATGACGGACATCGTTAGAGCAAGACACTGATGGACGGAAGCTCAGCAAATATTCATCGGGGTCGTAGGGCCGAACGACGAGGACCTATTCGCACAAATCTACAGCCACAGCCCAGAGCCCCTACAGCCTCCAACGAATCCAAACTATGAATCCCTTCTGTTCGCCTCTTCAAACTAAATGAAGTGATCCAACAACAATTTATCAAGGGGTCCTTAGAAAACCACTTTTTAAAACAGAGAAACGCATGTTTCATCTAAAAGGGTTAAAAATGTAACAAATAATGAATTCTAAGATATTTTTAATCCTTGAGAAAAAAAATTCCCACTATTTGTGTTGAATGATCCACTCATAACAATATTTTAAATAAATAATTCCTGAAGCTAGGCT